CTCTGTCTGTGACAGACAGACTTCTGAAAGGCAGGATGTCATTCTGAGTAACTCCTTCCCTCTGTAGAACCTATTTCAAGGTGGGCTGTGAATGTAGTGCAGGTATTTTCTTGTGTTTCTGCAGTATTTATTTCAACTGCTTTGTCCTTTGCCTTTGCAAAACATCCCCATGTCCTTTGAGAAAGGGACTGTCCATGGTCCTCAGTCATGCAGGAATGTGACATTTTCTGATGAACTGTGAGAATTAAAAGGAGTTTTAATGAGTATCATAGAATCACAGAATGGTTTGGGTTGGAAGGAACCCTAAAGCTCATCCAGTTCCAACCCCCTGCCATGGGCAGGGACACCCTCCACTATCCCAGGTTGCTCCAAGCCCTGTCCAACCTGGCCTTGGACACTTACAAGGATGGGACATCCACAGCTTCTCTGGGCAACCCATGCCAGGGCCTCCCCACCCTCACAGGGAAGAATTTTTGTTTAATATCTAATCTAAACCTGCTCTCTGTCAATTCAAATTCACATTCCCCCTTGTCCTGTCACTACATGCTCTTGTAAAAAGGCCCTCTCCATCTTTCTTGTAGTCTCCTTTCAGGTAACCTTTTGACTTGTTGTGCAGCATCAGTGAGACCTTTTAATAACAAAAATACTAATCACTTCTGCCCATGTGATTAGTATTTAGTTATATTTCTGTCCTTTACCTATTCAGGTTTTGGAAATTCTTGCTTGGGGCAAAAATAGCATTTTTATTTCAGCATTGGTATTTGCATTTCTAAATTGTGTTATTGGACAGCCTAATATCTTGTTTAACCTGTTTGTGGATGGCTTTAGAACATCACCAAAGTGCAGAGCTTATTTCAGAGGAACCAAAGTGGTTATTCTTTAATTAGAAGATGCCAGAAGGTCTTACAAGTTTTTGACTTCACATACTATGCTTAACTCTTGGTAGTTTGGGTTTGTATATTTTAGGCATTGGTGTGCAAATAAGCAAAATGAGTAGAAAAACTAGGTTCTACCCAAATAACTTGTCCAAGACTTGCTTCAATAAATTATGTTAGGCTTAGTTTTTTCTGTAAATTGCTTTGCACTCACTTTAAGGGTAATTTCAAAGAGTAACATCTTATTGTGAATATTCTAGACAGAGAATTTGTCAGAGTGAACATAAGATAATACAGCTGCAGTACAGATTTACCAACCAAAGTTGTACTGTTGGGATGGGTATTATTACTTTTTTTGGATGATTTTATCTCTTTTGGTTTGAGCTTCAAAAATAGTGTCTTTTCTGTAGGGAGATCAGTTTGATACGGAAATAAAAATAAATGTGCCAGTTTTTGCTCATGCACACAAATCCCATAATAATCTGATTAGTCTGTACCAATACCTACCCTTAAAATATGAGGAAATAGATAAGCTTTGTTGCTGTAAACCACAAAATCTGGGCTGCCTGTGGCTAGTGGTGTGTCATCATCATTTAATGGCAAATTTACAGTTCTCTTAAAATGCCACTACTTGCAGCTTTTCCATTTAATTTATAAAATGACTTGATGATCAGTGTGGCAGCTGGACTGAGGTCCCCACAAAAAGCACCTGGCTGATGTCTGTGCCTTGAGCACTCAGGCTCAGCCCTTGGCACTGCCTGTAAACCCACTAAGATAACTTTAACCTGTAAACCAGCAAACCCTGATGGCTGAAACAGTGTTTTCTCTCCAACAAGGAGCCATTGAAATCCTGTATGGAAACCTGTTTGCTCCATTCCTAGTGATTACTACGTATATAAGAAAATATGCAAATATACTTTATATTTTTTCTACACTGTAGGACTAAAAGTTGAGAACATGATAACGTGTTTATGCTTTATGAGAGATTTTCCAGGACAGGTGGTCCTGAGCTCCTGAAGGTCTATATGCCACAGGAGTGTTGCACCCTTCCTCCAGTGGCAATTTTGGTAAAACCTGTTATTTACAGTTGCTTGTGTGTAAGTGAATTCTTCTGGATACATCAGGGACATGGAGGAGGAAATGCAGATTACAAATACTGAATATGAAGCAACCAGGATGTTTTTGTCTTCTGGCATTTCAACCTAGCTGAAAGTAACTTTTGCTGTTGCTTTCAGTAAGAGAAAAGGACTTAATCCTAGCTTTTTGGCTCATGAAAGCTGAATGCTGTTATCACTGTGTTCAGCTACATGCAAATTCATGTTAATCTCTGCTGTATGAAAGAACTGAATGTAAAAGAAGTGATATAAGCGTGAAGTTATTCCCAGTGTAACTCAGCAAAATATATTACTTTATCCTTTTAAAATTGTTCCTGGCACCTTGGGACAATTTGTGACTGTTATTTAAAGTGACTTCAATGAATATTTTGTTCTTTAGGTAATAGTTATAAAGCTTGTGCATAACGTACAGGGATTTGACTGAACTTTCATTTTCGAATAGCAATGAGCTTCAGGAGTGGTGTGAGGTTAACTCGAGTTGTTGATTCTGGTCACTTCATTTGTACTTGGAGAGTGTTTTTATAGGAAATCTGGGTTGTCTCCATGTGCACACTGTGGGATGGAGTTCCACTTCGCAGGTCCTTTTGTAATGCAATTCTTATTGTGCAGGAGAGGGGAGAGGAGAAACTGGCATTCATCTGTGTGACCTTATTTATTCTAAGGCTCTTAACGATAATTGACAGTTTTTTAAGTCATAATTTTTATTTCTCAGTGCCTTCTATACAAGACTGTTACGAAACTGAGACAAAACAGAAAAAGGGAAGATGCAAGAAAACATGGAGAAAATGAGGGAACTGTAGTGCTGATCATGAGAGGGTTGTATCATGTGTGTATCCAAGTGTCCTTCTGGAAATGTTGTTTTGCCAGGAGGATGCAATGCTTGTGGACAGCTGAAACCATAAATGTCTTGCATCTTCAAGGATACTCGGAGGGTTAAAGAAATCCTCTAATGCAACCTCTTTTTTGGCAAATTAGTGGAGTCCAGTGTGGTCATCTGAGGTGAACACTTGTCCTCAGATGAGTCCTGGTTTTCTGTAGCAATAGTTTTCTTTGGATTCCTTCTTCCCAACCCTGTAGAAAAGTTTACATAGTTGCATCCTCAAGGAGAGATTTTCTGCAAAGATATGACATATTTGGAGTCCTTGAAGGAGATACTCCCAGATATATTGCTGGTGGGGCTGGAAAGTTTGGAGAAACTGTGACTAATAGCAGCTTTGGTATGAACAGGCACTTTTTTTACAGAGTCAAGGATTGATTTCCCTTAGACAGCATAACACAGGGATAGTACACTGACTTGTACTTACAGTACAGATTTAGAAAAATTGGAACTAGATAATCTTTAAGGTCCCTTCCAACCCAAGCTATTCTGTGATACCAAATCTAGTGTTTAGTTCATGCAGAAATCTGAGCTGCTGCAATGAGCATTTGCTGATAGCCTTGCACTGGAATCCTTCAGACAGACATGTCCCTGCCTTAAATCATCTGAACTGTTGCATCCTTGCTTAGGAGAGTGCAGAGCTTTGGCAAAAGAAGTCAGAAACTTGTTGCTGATGAGCAAGAAAGCTGAAAAAGGTTTAAAAGTCTCTGGCTGTGGAACAGCACAGGGAAAAGGGAAGGAAACTCATGCAGCTGAGAGCAATTGCAACAGCTTTGTAACAACAGTGGAGAAGCAGATGTTTAAAGTTTTGTTCTTGTGGAGGTGAGGACTTATAAATATGATATTGCTGATGAAGAGGTTGATACAAAATCCTGTAGTAGCAAGGAAATGGGAAGTTCCTAAGGGAAAAGTGACAAACTGAAATACCTGGCCTTGACAGACAGAACACTTCAGGGCGAACGCTGTATTCATTAACTGAGATGAGTTCCATAATAAGCTGTTTTAGCTCCTCCTTCTGAATGGACAATTGGAAGGACTGTATGTGTGTGAGACATTCAACTAGCTTTTGTTCTGGGCAGTGAGGGGAAAAAGGCTTGAAACACAGTTTGATTTCTTGTAGAGAAGAAGGAATTGGCTTCAAACATGGTAAACTCTCCTGCTTCTGGCTTTGTTTCTCCTAATTGGAATGGAACTGTGCAAGTTATAATTACTCTGGAGAAACTACTGCCACAAAAGCAGTGGAATCTTCAAGGATCATAAAAAATTGAGACTGACAGATTGAGGTTGTTCTGGAGGAGATATTGATAGCATTGCCATGCTGTTGTCTATTGTTGTGTACTTGGCTTGTTGTTGGTACCTGGTGAACCATTTGTAAGAGTGGAAACTAAATTTTCTCATTCTTCTCCTTAAACTAAAGTTGGGTGAAGTAAAAATGTTTGCATGACACCATTGCCAACCATCTGGAAAAAAACTGATTTAGTCTATCCATACAGTAGAACTGGAATGCTTCATAAATCTGTAAGTTATTTGCAGTGCACTTGGTTCTACCGAGGAAAAGTTTGTTGGTTCTTTACACTCCTCCTAGATGGAAAAATCTCCAGTTGTCTCTTCCAAGGGTTCATAGCAGTAGCCTGAGAAAACTTCTCTAAGGCTCACTATGTACTGATTGCATGATGTAGAGTGAGGCCCAACATTTTTATGCAGTGGTCAGATTTTGAGATACAACTGTTCTCTTTCTTGTTCCTGGCATTCTTGGTTAAGGATGCAGTAAGGCTTTTCCTATTGCTGAAAAGAGTTTTTGGTTTGCCAGCTGTCTTTTTCTTCTGTCAGTTCTCTGCTCCTTTCAGTTGTACTTGAAATTTAACTTACAGTAAATAAGATATATTTTACAGTAATGTATATGAAGTATTTATAGAGAGAGGAGGGTGGCATAGTAAAGCAACTGTTCTTGTGGCAGGCAGTATTCATCTTCAAAATTACTTTGGTATCAAAGAAGGCTGTTTACTTATGAATGTAAAAATCCATCTTTTACCATGGGAGGAAACAGGAAAATTGGTATTTGTCAAGTGTGCATGTTTGTGCACGTAAGAAATGTGGAAGTTGCTAATTCTGTTTCCCTGTCTTGTCGAATAGATCATCTAAAGCAGCTGGGAATTTGCAAAAGAAGACCCTGACAGCACACAGATACTCGATCTCTAAATCAAATTCAACGATGCATTAGAGGGAGCTGGATTGGCTGTGCAGAGATTTCACACTGAAGGATGAACGGTGAAGAAGAGTTTTATGATGCCGTTACGGGTGAGTGATGGGCACAGTGCCAAGGGGGGGAAAAAAGCTATAAATTGGATTGTGTGTGTGGTGAGGGGCCAGCAACATGTAGCTGTTAATAATAAATCAAAACGAAGCCTCTGTTGGTAAAAGTTGTAGTTCTGTCTGCTGAAAAGTGGACAGAGAGAATTATAATTTGTGTTCAGGCTTGGAAATGAGGAGTTTTCATTAAAGCTTAATGCTGGCTATCATTTTATCATTATAACAGTCCTTTAGTGGCCAGGTCTTACTTTCGTTTTCTTGAAAAGCAGGTAATTTAATAGCAGCTTGAAAAGTAATGCTTTTAAGACCCTTTGAAAGGTGAAATATTTTCCATGGGTTGTTTTTATCATTTTTTTTTTATTATTTTTTATTTTAATGGAAGATTTATGCTAAGGAATTGAAGTAGAAAATGTTTTTCTAGTCAGAAACAAATTACTGTAGAAGTGTGCTTTCAAAATATGGAGCCAAAAGTCTTTGCAGTCCCATATTTTTCCTTCAAAATTAAACCTAAATCACTTCACACTTGAGCAGTGTATCGAATGGTACTTTGCTTTGAACTAATAAGGATGAATAGTTATTTGTAAGAGCCTTAGATGGTTTTGCTGGTGAAATAAGATGCTTGAAGTGTTCTAATAAAGGAAATCCACTCAAAGATCTCAAACAATTTTAAAGTCTTCCACTGAAATGTCTCTTGAGAAGTCCTGTAACGGGGGAAATGAGAAATGTTGAGTGTGGAGTGGTTAATGTAGGATCACAGGAATGAGAAGAGAATAATGGGAAGCATTGAAAGCTGAAGGAATGGAAGTACATTGTAGATACAAGTGGGTAAGGTGGACTTAGACATGGTTGGTTGGAAATGCGTGTGAGAGTAAACAGAGGGGGCTGGGTGAAGCAGTGTGACTGACAGCAGGCTGTATAGGACTTGTCACAACTATGTCACGGAGAAGAGGAGGAAATTTGGTTTGCATTCATGCCAGCTGGGAGTGACAGGGGTAGTACTCCAAATTCCTCTGTAAAATCAAGCTGTTGTACCATTAAAATCTTGAAAACACAGTTGCTGTATGTCTTCAGTAATCTTTCAATTCCAAGAGCTCAGGACCAATGCCATGAACGAACTAGATTTTTTTCCACTGAAATAGGTGTACAGAAATGTGCCTCTGAGCATGAGGTCTGTGTGGTACAGCTGTGAGGTCGATGCATTCCTTTGTCTCTTGCTGCAGAATTGCACAGCCCTCAGCGTTTGACTCGTCTAGTTTTGTCCTCTTTCCTCTTCTTTTTTGCCTGAACCTCAAAGAGTTGATTCCCCCCACAAGTACTCCAGGTGGTATTGACTTCTGAGCTATTGTGCATGAGATGTTCCTGCAGTCTGGGCTAACTCTGCTCAGAAGTGGGATGATGTGCATCAGTTCTGTGAGCACTCCTTGTCCTGTCCTAATCTTATTCTTCCACGGGGAGGAATGTACTGGCAGGAGATAAGTTTATATATATATATATGTTATATGTGTTGCCCTGGAACATGCCCTGCAGGTACTGATTTAAGAGAAGTGCTGACATTGGAATCTGAAAAGTTTGCTTCAGATTCATTCTCCCTCAGGACTGTCTGCCTTTAAAGACAGGTGCTCAATCCCTTTCTCTAGCTGGATGCTTTAGAAGATGCTGACAGTTTGATGAATTACTTGCACAAACCTAGTGAAGCCAGACCTAGTTCTTTGTAGCTGTGTCTTGTCCAAGTCATATATAAATCTGATGCAAAGAACAACCTGTAAATAGGTCTTTCTACATTTATGTTCCCCAGCTGCTGTAGCAACTCTTTGCTCCTGTGTCTTTCAGGTAGTGCTTTGTTGAATTTTTTAGGTTTTATGGGTCTTGATCATGCCTATCTGTGTGTTATTTTTTTAATGGTCTGGACATGTTAGATGTAGACTCAGTATTGCCAGAGATCAAGTTCACAGTCAAGGTCCTTTCTGACCCAAGTTTAGCTTCCAGGTTCTGCAGTAAAAACTTCAGGATTTGGGGTTCCAAATTTTGATTAAAAAAAGTTAATTGCCCTTGGCAGACTCCTTGGTCTGTTCTTTCCAAGGATACTCTCCTACATCAGATGAGTAGATGAGCAGAAGCCACCTTTAGACATGTACTTGTTCTGCTTGAACTCTAGGACTGGGACATTGCTGCCAGGAACAAGCACATTCTTCATCTGTGTCTCAGCTCCATGTTGAGATGAAAACAGTGTGTACACCATGCCCTGCTCTTGCTCCTGCCAAGTCCTGGGCCCTGCTTTCCCCAGAGGGAGCTGTAAAGTGTTCCCACAATTTCAGTGATTTTAGTAATTGGATACTGTGGTTTGTGTCTTCTAAGTAGCAAACCAGGCTCAGAGCACTTGGACTCTGTGGGGAGTTCTCTCTGGAATTCTGCAGGGGTCTCAGCAGCAGCCCAGGTAGTATGCTGCCACTTTTAAGATAATATGGGCTCACTCCTTGAGGAAGCCACAACTTTTCTGTAGTTATTAATTGATGGCATCCACTTCTAGAATATGAATCTGTCCTAAGGAGACTCCTGATTTTTTGTTGTGGTGGATTTCAGCTCCTTGGCTGAGAAGTTTCCTGCTTCTGACACTGTCCCATCGCATCCCAAAGACATTCTCGTGGGATGGAATTGCAAGCTGTGTGGTTGGGAATCATCCTCCTGGCAGATGGTTTGCCCCTGACTGGGTGATGATTACACTCATGAGGGTGCAGGATGGATTGGGGTGTTCAGGTGATGAATCGATTAGTGACCAGTAAAGAGTTTCCATGGAGAGAAGTTTCTTTGCATTCAGAGGTCATTAGCATTGCTGACACTTGACATCTTTGCCTCATGAATGAGTACTCCCCTTGGGAATCTCTTGGGAATGTTACTTGTGGTCTCAGCTAATTCTTGACGTTAACTTGACAGTTAATTCCCGACAGCACAGCTGTCAATAATCTGCTTTTTCTCAAAGCAAAGCATACTTTGATCTATGTCACCTTGGGTGTGCTAATCTTGATGCAGACTTTATAAAGACTATGTGCCACCAGGGTCTGCTCTATCAGAGCTGTATCCTTCATTAATTCTGTCAGATACCTATTTGCCAAAGTGTTTTGTGAAAGGGCTGCCACAGAACAGGAAAATTCTTGGCTGTTTACCAGAGTAATTTATTTTTTAAACATGGATGGTTTAATTTTGCCTTTTTAAATATTGACCCACCGTTCCATGGAAATCTGTTCTGTGCCCACCATGAGGTTAACCTAGCATGGTGTATTTGTGAGGATATTGTTCACTGTAAACTGTTGGTTTCACATGGAGAGAAGGAAATGAAGTATCTGCTGCCAAATGAATATATTTTCATAATGCCTGGATCAGACTGAATCAATGGATTCTGCTTTAATGTTTAAGTACTGCAGATGTTGTGAAAGGCCAGCCTGCCTCCCATCAGCTACAGGTTGTGAAGATGGACTTGTTTTGGAAAGTGTAGAATTCTAATTTCTGGCAAAGAAAAAAATACCTCTTGCTTCACTTGCTGTCTACACTTTTAGCATATTTATCCCTATTCTTTATGCTCTTTTTAGGACTGAAGGCTCTCAGTACTCTGCTGTTTTGATTCCCTTTCTGTCTGGGCTGACAAGGCTTAATTAGTGCTCAGGGAAGTTGCTGACTGTACAAAGGGGTGTTCTTGTGTACATGACTCACAGAACTGGGTGCCTCTGCTCCCTTGGCTGATGTGGAGCGTAGTCTGAGTGGACTTGTTTCATTTGCAGGATGTGGAAGAGGAAGGCTAAGAGAACTAGAATTACTGGCAAGTCACTTTTCTTTAAGTTCTTGAAATAGATTCATGTTGGCACCCAACCTAAGTATTTTACTTTGAAAATTTAAGACTTCTTAAAAGCTTAACGCGCATAAGTTGGGATGTCTGATTAATTTTTGACATTGTATTTCTGTGTGTAGCTCCCTATTCCCTTTTTTATCCTCACTCCCAGTGGCTTTTCAGCGTGAAAACTGTCCTGTAAGTAAAACTTAGCTGCTCAGTTTTTCAGGTTCAAAGCTTAAATGGGAGAGGTGTAAGGCTCTTCTTGTAACTCAGCAAAACTCAACAGATCACTTCAGTAAACTGTTTTTTTTGCAGTGAAACTGTGAAGAACATTCTCTGGGTAGTTCTTCACAAAACTATAGCACTTTGAACTTCACTGAGAAGCGTCTTTTGAAACTTTCTCAGTGGGCTTGTAGTGGACAAGCCATGTGATGCTTGAGGTTGAAAGTGTAGTTGAAAGTCTAGTGATTATCTGGCTGGGATTAACCCAAGTGGGTTTGGTTGTTGTTTTTTTTTAAAGTAATTAGGTGGAGGTACACTCTAATAAAGCAGACTTACCATTCTGATGTGTCTTACTTTTCTGGAGCTGGGATTTAATTGTTGTTGCTTGTCTGCAAGACACTTGTTTGAATTGGCATTGATTTTCTTACCAGTGACATAGTCATCCATAAATAATATATATACCAGAATCTAAATTACTGTTGTGCTGTACAGGAACAGGGCAAAACAATTTTGAATCATGGAGAAACAGAAAAACTAGTGTGGATAACACAACAAACATTTGATAGGATTTGCAGGGTTTCAGGTACAATGTAAAGACTGAAATTCAAGTAACATGTTTTCATAACTATTCCCCTATAAGCCAGTGATTGAAGTGATGCTGTTCCTTGTGTTGTGTGAACTTGATTAGTTTTCTAGGTGAGGGCACATGTGCCTCATCCTTTTTTTCCAACTTTGTCAGGTTTTTTTCCCAACCTTATTAGCTTGTCAGTCAATAATAAAATAGCAAACTAATAAAAGTTATTTTGCTGTACCCTGAAGTATTTGCCTTTTCTACTTCCTTGTACTTTAACAGGTTCCAAAAAAGCCAATATATGATTAGAAATACCATTTTAAGATCATAACTACTTTGTTGTGAGTTCACTGAAGTTGTACATGTGTATTTTTTGAAGACAGGTGTTTCAGGGTAGTCTTCATTTTAACTACCTGAATCTATATGTGACTATCATACTTTCCAATTGAGTACTGACTGGCCAGGTGTGGTTGTTGCTCTGTAATTAAATGCTTGTGACATCAAAACGTAGGAGAAGGGGTTAGACATGACATCACCCATTACACCTGCTGTTTACCAAGTAAGATCATATCAGTGGTACTTCCTGGAAGCTGGAAACTAAAGTCTTGTGTTTCTTGAGGAAGGATTCACCCTTCTGGCTCTCAGAAAGGCCTTAATGCTTTTAGAGGTAATTTCAGCAAAAATATTCCTTTATTGCACTGAATGAACAGCAGCATTTCCTGTTGTAATACTGTGGCAGTTATGAAGGATTGTATTAATTCATCATTTTAGGGTGTTCTGTGTTGATGCTGCAACTGATCCTTTGTTGTTAATAAGTTTTGTTTCGAGGAGGAGCTTGTTGCTGTTGATTGTGACCAAGTGTGTGTGTATAGGTGATTAATATGCTTTTAAAACCTTCTTATTTAAAGACACACAAAAATTGCCACCATTCAAAATGTAAGTAGTGTGACTAACAACAATATAAAATTACTAGACTAAAATCTTGTTTTAGTCCAACTCCTGTTCAGGGCTGTTTGATACAGATGTTTGTGTTCTGTAAATTCCTGTTGGTTTAACATTTTTATGGTTAAGGCTGTTCAAAGGATGTTGCTGTAAGCTGGTGTATAGTTAGAATGGTGTTTCCAGTAGCTCTTGACCCAAGTGGATGGAATTGGGGCATAGGAAAGGCAGAGACCTGCTGCAGGGCATGCTGTGGGTCACTGGAGAGCTCAGGGAACAATTCATCTTGGAGTCCACAGGTTCCTGCTGGAACCTTTAGGGAGGTGTTACACGGTTTGCACACATGGGTGGCAAAAAGAAGTTGAGATAGCCTGCATTTCTGTGCCTCCAGTTATCTGGATTTGCCCCTGGATTGTGAAATGGTCCCTTGCTCTTTTCTTTTTTTCTTTTTTCTCCTTCCCTGTTAGCAGTGTAAGTTAAATTATTTTAAGGCCTTTGAGGAAAACTACGTAACTGAACAAAATTACTGTAATCACACTGCAGCTCTGAAGAGGAGACAATACAGCTAATCTGATTAGGAGCTGCTCTCTTTTAAGATTCTAAATTGGTTTTATATTCAGCAGTGTGAAAAATGAATTGAGAATTCTTGATTCTAATACAATACTTGGCTCATAATACTCTTGGAAATTAGGTAGGTTAATGAGGGGTTTTCACTCTGATATTCTTTTAAATAAACTAACCTGATATAAGTGTACTTAAGGTGTGAGACTTATAAAGTGTGAGTGGCACTCTGTGGCATGATAAGGTTCCTAAGAAAACTGTTACCTTATGGTTTTTATACAGGCTTTGATTCCGACAATTCTTCAGGAGACTTTTCAGAAGCAAATCATAAAGTTCCAGAAATGCTTGATCTAGATCCACACCAAAGCAAAAGGACGGGAAAGCATAATGGAGAGACAGAGATTCAAGAGAATGGAATTAAGAGACACAGGTAAACACACAGTGCTACACAGTGAATGAGAAATGGGCATCTGCTGGCTCATTATCTTTTGGAGCATTACTGTTCATGTAGTGTCTCTGCTTCCTGTGCCAAGTCTAGGTTAATGTTTTACTTCCTTTATACATTACTTCAATACCTATGAATGAAAATGGCTTGTTATTTAAAGGGTTGATAATGACAATTGGGTTTTTTTCTATTGCAGGACATCATTACCTGCCCCAATGTTTTCTAGAAGTGATTTTAGTGTGTGGAGCATATTAAAAAAATGCATTGGACTGGTAAGTTAGCCTGGATGAAGCATGCTGATGTTGGGTCTCCCAGTGTCATCTGGTTAATTTTGTTGCTTAAACATTAAGACACAGAATAATACCTGGTGCATTTTGCATTTTTTTTTTTGCTAAGGAGCATAATTTTAAATTGCAACTCAAAGTCTCAGCATTTATTTAGTAGTAGTACTATTTCCATACTTTCTTTCACTGTTGGAACATGTGGATTGCATTTCTGAAGCTGTCCGTTAAGAACTAGACCAAAACCATTAAAAATATAGTCAAATATGGTTTGAATAATTTAATGTTGTCTTATCTTGCCTTCCCTTGTTCTTTACTTAGCAAAATGTCATTTAGGGCTTTATTTTATTAATTCATGTCATCTAGGAGATACACCTGTACTGTCAAAACTCCTTTTGTTGGGATGAGTGGTCTATCTACTAGAATCTTTACTTGGACCAAATCAATTTAAGCCAGTAAGGGTTAACATTATTTTTCCCTTGCTGCCTGTGACAAGATGAGGAGAATGTTGCATTCTGCTTTCCACTAAGTTTTAAGCACTTACATGAATGCTTTAATGCTCAGTCATGAGTGCAACTTTAAACAGCCAAATTTGCTTGGATATAGTAAAAGACCTGGGGAATTGGAAATCTCTGTGTGAACTTCGTGTCTGTCTTGTATCCATACATGTGAAATGAGAAACGTTCTGACACAAATAACAGGTTGCTTAAGGAAAACCACTAAAATTTGTTAGAGCAATTCACATACTATTCTTTATGTAACTGTTCCTTTCAAAAATTAATTTGTGGTTGCTACAGTACAAAACATAGGAATTGTGCAAATAGGTGAGGATTTCAAAGGAATATGTGGCTCTTCGGTCTCAGTATGGAGCTGCTTGGCACATTATTACTTCTGTCTGTGGAAATTTTAACCCCTTCTGCTTTACAGAGGAGAAGGTAACATTTTTTGTGAATTTTCTAGGTTAGCTGAATGAATTTCTGAAGTTGTTTATCATTTCAGGTCGCTAGTAGAGTTCTGCAGTGCTTCCAGCCCCTTTTGGCTGTAGCACTTGGAGGTCTGCCACAGGCTTGCCAAATGTCCTTTGAAGAATGCTGTTAATAGACTCACCCACAACTTATTTTCAAAATTCTTGTAGTTGTCACTTGTTAACTTAGTGTTGTGTCTAAGAAATTAACCTGCCCTTTGGTCATTTAGGAGCTGTCCAAGATCACCATGCCTATTGTCTTCAACGAGCCATTGAGTTTCCTTCAGCGGATAACAGAATATATGGAACACATATACCTCATTAATAAGGCTTGTAGTCATGCAGATCCCCTGGAAAGAATGCAGGTAAGAACACCTACCACCTTCTCAGTGCTCCAGAAGAAGATTTTTTTCTCCTAGTCTTTTATTTTAAGACAATTTCTCACTTGAGTGTATTTCTTTCTCAGGCATTACCATGAGAATGCCCCTTTTTGTCTGTCTAGACAAGGTTCTTGTTTCATGGTGACTGTATCAAATATTTGTGACACTTTCACACTCAGTGCTGTGCACGGGGTTTGAGCCAAAAGGAGGAAAGTGCCACAACTGACCATACCCAGGAACCTCAACTCATTTCAGGGCTGCTTTATCTGTGACTCCTTTCATTTTATGTGTTGGAAGATGAAATTGTGGCTTTAAGCCACCCTAAATTGGTTTGTTGAGTGGCCTTGTGATTTAGAAGTTACTGGATGAAAAATTGTTGTGGCAGAGACAAGATTTACCACTCCTTTCTTCCCCAGAACTGGTTGTTACTGGGAGTAGAATATAGTACCTCCCTGGTTTCACACCAAGGAAGAAAATATGGTGAAACCAGGCCTGTGTGCATTAGGTTATACTGGTATCACTCACAGCTCTGTTTTTAATTAAGTGAAACTGGAATATTTATCTTGTATTCTGTGTCTGTATAGTCCATACCTGTGCTTCCCAGCCTGCAGGAGCTCCTGAGTGTCATCTGTACCTGCTGGGGTGATTCAAGGGGTCTCATCTCTGTTAGAAATAATTCTTGCCTGACACTGGGAAAGGAGGGCACTGTTCCTAATGAGCTGAGGGTGGGGGACAGTCAAAAATGTGGGGAAAATAGATTTAAAAAACCAGGCTGACCTCATAGAGGTCTGTAGAGAAGATAGGGCAGAGTGCAACCTGACAGAACTTACTACAGAAAATAGTTCCTTTGGTAAATGAGAATCTTAATAAATGCTTATATTTTCCCACTTCTGTGTCACTTACCCATGGCTTGCAAATGTTTTTGCCTTAAGCAATATTTAGCAGTTTCTTTTTGGAATAATAATGAAATACTGTAATGTGCAACAAATTAATACATTAAACTTAAAAGTTTTAATGTACTCTTCTCATAGCAGTGTGTTCTTAATTTCCTTACAGGCTGTAGCTGCTTTTGCAGTTTCTGCTGTAGCTTCTCAGTGGGAGAGAACTGGCAAACCATTTAACCCACTGTTAGGAGAAACCTATGAATTAACCAGGTAATAATTACTTTAAGTTGGGAACTGGGCCTGTTTGTGTTCTTGAGTTAGCAGACTCGTACTGGTTTGGTTGTAGTAAAATACTACTAAATTATATTTCCGAGTAGAGCTAAAATTCTTTTTGTCAAACTATCTCAAAATCTTTGAGAAGTTGTTATAAAAGCTAATAATTATATTTCTAGCTTTAGGCAGAGAATTATTTCTTTGAACTATTCAGAGAAAAATCAGTCCATGTTCTTCCACCAAAGACATTTCCTGACCAGACACTGTTAATTAATGTAAATATTGTTTTGTTGATCATGTCAGATAGAGGAAGGACTGAAGGACTTCCAGCTTGATTAAATAAATGGGTGATATGTCTGCAGTGGAGAAAAGAATTTTCAGTCAGACCTTCTCCTGCTGCCCAAAGAGTTTCTGTACTTTCATGAGTTAATTCAGTGAAACTAGTTCAGGGGCCTTTCTGGATAGAAGGCTGGTTTGAGGTATAAAAAGAAAGTGTTCAGAGTACAGATCCTTTCATTTCATTAATTGTAAATGTGTCATGAAACTAGAAAAGGAAAAGTCTTACCTTCAGTTTATTTTGAAATCCTGCAAATTTTTTTAAAGTATCAAGTCACTCTTTTCTAATATTAAAACAAAATGCTTACTGTTTAATTGTCTTTTTTGTTTTTGCTAGGGAGGATTTAGGATTTAGGTTTATATCTGAGCAAGTCAGCCACCACCCACCTATTAGTGCATTTTATTCTGAAGGCCTCAATAAGGACTTCATATTTCATGGATCAATCTATCCCAAACTAAAATTCTGGGGAAAGAGTATAGAAGCAGAGCCTCGGGGAACAATTACTTTGGAGCTTCTGAAGTGAGTATGAGAAGTAAATAACTCTTTTTTTTTAATGTTGATCTCCTTATGATTTACTTGAATAAAAGGATGGGTAATAATCATTCTGTTGGCTCTTCAGGGGTGATTACCTAAAAACCTCTTGCTGAATTGATTTCCAAGTTAATTTTCACTGCTTGATTTCAGGACTCTGTTTTTTTTTTTAAAGTTATATCATGCTTGCATAGCTGTAGCAATTCAACCCAGTTTTTCCACTGTGAAAATAAGCATTTCTTAAAAATTGGATGCTATTGAAAGCTAGTTCTGTGAAGGCACGTAAAATTGAAATGTAGATATAAAGTTCTGTTACTGGGCTGTTCAAGCTCATCTCAATTCTTAATATTGTTTTTGGTTTTGGTTGTTTGTGTCAATGTTTGTGTGGAAAGAACTACATCTCACAATTCTGTGATAAAGGAACATGAGAAACTTGTCAGGATTGCCTTAACACTTCCTGGGAAGGATCAACTTCCTATTAAAATCAAGAATGCCTCTCTTAATTACTCCCAGGCTCGTCTCTCATGAATTATGAGTGACTTCCCATAAGCTGGTTTGTGCCCTGGTGGCTCAAAGACTGGAGCTTTCCCAAGTGGGACATGAGGATGCACTGGAATAGTTGCAGGAAAAGTATTCTGCAGTTGAGCACTTCAAGGTGTTTTTATAAAAGCTTTCATGAGGCTTAACTTTGAGTGGGTTTTGAAATGTTGTCTTAAGAAATTTCTAGACATTTGGTTTCAATAAAGACTCAACTTGCCTGCCATAGCAAGCATTGACTTTTCCTGTACTTCCTTTTGGAAGCACATTAATTTTCAAGCTGTTGGCATCTAATCTTCCAAATTTTCTAAAAGTATGAACTGGTCTTGGATATAATTGGTGATGAGAGGAAATTTCTTCTGAATGCAGAAATAACTATGAATGTTAGTGCAGAATGCAGATGTGACCAAAATAACATTTGCTTGAGAGCCTTTATTTAGAAGACTATTAAAATTCTTCCTCAGCCTAATCAAATGACAGGGCTCAGATTTAAACTGGAATATCAACAATTAAAGGGTTTATTTTAAATAATTGCTTCAAGTTAGCAGCAGAAGTCAAAATCAAATTTTGAGCCTCTCAGTGTTGTGATTCAGACCCTTCTGTTGGTTTGAGGAGTCTGAGAACTACTCAAGGCCTGAGTGAACAAGGAGCTGTTTGGCAAAACTGTGTCAGTATAAAATCGTGCATTTATGTTAACCAAGACTGCTTTCAAAACAGGAATTACAAGGCACTTCTCCAGCACAAAAAGTGTTTCAATTTATCAGCACTCGCCATAAGTGCCTTATGTGTGGGGTTTTGGTTTGTACTGTACAGCTTTTGGTGTCAAGTAGTTCAGGAATAAAACTGTGCTTAAAGGCTGGTGGGATGAATTTGAGGAGTTCTGGTATTTTTCTCCCCAATTGAAGAGTAGTCATTGTTCTAAAGAAGAAAAGGAGCTGTGGAAATAGTCAGACTTCAGTGATTTGTTACTTCTCTGTACTCGAAAATGACAGGTTGGAAACATTAAATAGGAGTGTTCTCTCCATACTTACTGGAAATAGAAGTACAAGACATTTGTTACAGATGACACTGCTTGTCTCTGTATTATTTTGTATTAAAGTAGAGTTTGCAAGCTTTCCTAAGATGGGTTGGCTGCCAAGCAAGTAACTTCAGCATTTCTTTTACCAGCACAGAAAATGAGTGAAAATAGATGGCTTTGACTCTGCTAGTGATAATGGGAATCCTGCTGTCTAATTTTTTGACCATTTATAGGATAGTGTTTTTTAAGGATTTAGGATCTGTTAACTCACCTTTAAAGCTTTTCACAAAACATTAAAACAAAAGTGAAACCAAGTGGAAAATTCTTCAATTTTAGGACTTTTCTGTCTTCTCAGTAAATCTTTGGGGAAAGGATGGAATTGAGCAGTAAACACAATTTTTAAATGTCATGTTTGTCAAGCTTGAAATAGTGCTCTTTCTCCCACTGGTGTTAAAAAAAAAAAAAACAACCTAAAAAAAGAAAAAACCACTCACACCCCCAAAATTGCCTTCAGTGGCACTGAACAGGCCTCAATTAATGATGAGGAAATTTGTGGCATATTTGTGAAAAGCACTACTGCAGTTTACTGTTGTTGCAGCAATTGAATAGAAGACACTATTAGGTGTTAGGCTGTCAGTCTGCTTCTCCTGCCTGCAAGTATTATGTTTTATCACATACAACTTTAAAAGTGCAAATGAAAAAGATGAATTCCTGGGCTGCTCTTTGCGTTGGGCTGAAATTCGTAATCCAAAGCACAGCAACTGTGAGAATTATGTGAGAAGGGAGAAAAATAAAGGCAATATCACTTTATTAGCTCACACTAATGTTTGGATACGACACATTGTTGGCCTGTAAAGAAGAGTCTGTTTCTTTTCTGTTTTGAAGTTAAGTGCTGGCTGTTCATAGGACTGCTAAATATTTTGCCCTTCCAGGAACGGAATTGTAAACAGGCTTGCATTCCACCTCAAACTCAAGAAATTGATTTCTTTCTTTGTTTTCTTTACAGGCACAATGAAGCTTACACATGGACAAATCCAACCTGTTGTGTACATAATGTAATTATTGGTAAACTGTGGTTAGAACAGTACGGGACAGTAGAAATTGTAAATCACAGGTAATGCAAATCATGGACCTGAGGGTTGGCTCGTGGGCACTGCTGTGTGGTCAGTTGTGTTACAAAGCAGATGGTTTTGACTTTTGTCAGAGGCACAGGAAGCTTTGGTTTGTAGCTCCAAAGTTTTGGGGGGTTTTTTGCTTGTTTTGTTTTAATCCATTTCTAACAAATGCGAACTATCCCTTGGACTGGGCTTACTTGTCATAGTATTATTAATGAAAAGGCATAAGGCCAAATGTCTTATGGGCTGCAAAGGGTTTATTTTTGTGAGTTACCCATTCAAATTCAGCCCTGTTGACAGAGAACAGAATTGAAATTTAACTCCAGAACCATTAAATGGAATAATTGTTGGAGTCTTGGAGTAAACCTCTATCATGTTGATTGTGATTTGTCATTTTTTTTTAGTTTTGATAATGGAGAATGTCTTAAATTAAGGGCTGATGTCTTCATGTGCATATTTGTTTCTTTTTTGTTTGTTGTGTGGAATTTTGAAATTTGTGTACCTTTTTTAATGCCCTGGTCAGATAATAAACCATACTTAAAGAAAAATAATAAATAACTACCCCCAACTAACTGTAACTGTATGAAGAAAGCTAAATAAGGTAAAAAAAGGTAACTTACTAGCATATTTATGGATGTGCTTCTTCAAGCTTGTGTTTATTTCCTCTACAGTACTGGAGATAAATGTGTCCTTAATTTTAAACCGTGTGGACTGTTTGGGAAAGAGCTTCACAGAGTAGAGGGATACATTCAGGACAAACAGTAAGTTATAAAAGCCTCTTGGTCTCTCCGGTTCTGGGCACTGGGGCATTTCTTTTGCTGACATAGTAACCACAACTGATGTGACTGTAAAGTTGTTACCAATGAAGATTGTAACCCATTTTTGTTCTGTTGTAGCACTAACCCCCTTGATTCCAAGCGTGATAATTTTAAGCATTGTTAGAAAAACTCTACAGTCAAGTCTTTTGAAATAAAGGCATCCAGGAAAAATCCAGAGTATTTGCAACTGATTTCACTGTTGTACAGTCATAATTCCAGTCTTCAATTTAAAATAAGGAGAATATGGTTATTAGAATTTTTTTTATTAACCTAAACCTGTTTCCTGGCTCCGAGTCTCTGCTGCAAACTGTTGGCTTTGATGAACCCACTCTCATTTAACAGTGGCAAAAGCATGTGACTCTCATGAGGATGACTGGAATGAGCTGAATCCTTTTCTTTGCATTATCAAATATCTGGTTTCTAGGAATCACCCATTCTGTGATTCTATGAAATCTGCAAATAGAAACATAAAATGCAGCAAAGTAGAAACTGGGTGTTTAATATAGACCAGAATCTGCATGGCTTGGCTTGGAAGGCTCAATAAGAAGCAAGAGCTCAGTCTCCTTTGCTTTTCTCTGCAGCAGAAAGAAGCTGTGTGTGATCTATGGCAAGTGGACAGAGTGCCTGTGGTGCACTGATCCCACCACATATGAGACTTACAAAAAGAGTGAGAAGAGAGGTGGAGAGCAGAAGAAGAAGCTGGTAAGGTGAAGGAATCTTTAGGGAGAAAAGATGCTTAAATATCAGAAATGAAAACAGAACATCTTATTTAGGGAAATGGCCAGGTGTGAATGGAGGATTAAAAAACTGTCTGTCATTTGATGAGGTTGGATGAGGGCTGTGAGAAGGCACTTGGCACTTTGCAGCTATAGTGTGAGCTGCTGGCATAGAAGAGAGCTCATGGAATGGTGTTTGCTGGAAATCTGTCAGAGAGAAGTCATCAAATATCAACCCCCAAACTGGTGTCCTGTCACTCTGTGAGGAAAGCGGCTCTACGGCCAATTCCAGGGATAAAAATACTAGGATTTGGGCACTAAAAAAAAAATTATATTTTTTTAAAGTCAGATACACTTTTTAGTATATCAGAATTTGTGAGAGAGACAACCTTGACAACAAAGAGGTTTGGAAACATGCTGGGTTTGTCCCCCACATATAAGCAGTGTCAGGTAATTAGTTCAAAAGCTTCAGTATTGTATGGAAAATGTTGAATGGTGCAGCAAAGGACTGTTGGGTTTCCTGATATCAACAGGGTCTTGCAGACCCTGGTTGCTCAATGAAAATGAAAGGTTGAACAGAAGCCAATCATTCTTAGTGTTAAGAGGCTCAAACTTTAAAAGTATTTACATCAGAAGAATCTAAAGCAACAGCAGGCCTTGCTTTTGGCTCTGGATTCTGTCATGGTACAGGTTTATATTTTGACTGTTTTTTTAAATAATAAGGTTCTGTTCATCTTAAGAAAATCAACTCTTTCTTTCCTTCCTTCCTGTTGTGTCTATATTTAGATGGGGAACTGTCTAACAGTAAACCAGATGTTGACATGGAAAGTAGCCTAGAAGTGTCTTTTTAAATAATGAATACTCAAACCAAATGATTGAAATTAGACTCTTAACCATATGGAGCTGTTTTCTAGTGTATAAAACAGACCCTGTTTAACTTAGTAGGGTATTTTTGAATAAAATAAATGAGCCATGTCAGAGAAGGCAGAAAGGAAATAAAAGGGGGTGGGAGTGAGGAAAACTCTGATACTGTCACTCCAGGATGTTATTGCCTCAAACTTCCTTTCTGGTTGTTGTGGTTTTTAATGGGTTCTCATGGAGAAATCCTCTAAAATTCCACAATGTAGCTGTTCTGTGTCCTGCAACAGTCAGATTCTCTCAGATTCTGAGAGCAGCCTTCTGAACTTTGGATTTTTATATGTGCATTATGGCAGTGCAGCTGGTAACAAAGGAACTTTGAAGGAAAGACACTGGATTCATAAACTGAAGTATTCTCACAGCACTCACAGTGAGAAAACTGGCAGTGACAATTGTGATTAGAGTCTGGATCCTAGGAAATTGGACTGAAACAAGGGCTTATATTTTTCTAACCACACATCCAGATCTTTTGTAAATGATGAAGCAATATCCAAAAGCAGGTGTGCCCTGTTTTTTACTCAGGCCATTATGGGAACTTGCACTGGTTTAAATTGCAGTCCTGGCTCATTTCAACCTGAAATACTCATGTTAGATGAAATTAAACTATGGCATAGAATAGAAGGGAAGCTGGAGAGAACACTTCTGAAAGACATTAATTTACTGTTATTACTATTATTGATTTATTTTTTTTTTAAAGAGACATTCAAGTTGTACTAAAGGGGTGGGAGACTATTCAGGGATATCAGGAGCAAGACATTACATTAAAAGTGAGAGGAACAGTGTGCAGAGTGAGGAGAAGCAAACATGATGGGAGAGGCAGAAATACAGGAGAGTGTTTAGTGTCTCAAATTTGAACAGATTCTTCAACAGCCACTGTGGAGTGGATGAAACTGTCCAATGTTCCTTTATTCCCCTGCCAAATGTTATCTCTGTTTCAGAGTGAAGATGATATTAAATCTGAAAATGATGAGGCTGATGATATGCCAGAGATTCAAGACACAGTGCAGTTCATACCAGGCAGTAAATTGCTTTGGAGAATAAATTGTAGACCACCAAACTCATCACAGGTAACCATTTCAATCACTCTGTGCATTGCTCTTGCCAGTGACTTATCCAAGGGAACAGTTCCCCTTGGAAGTTCTGTTGTGTCCATTAACTGTAGGGACTCTAGTGCCACTTTGCCAGAATAACTTGTATGTTACCTTTATTTTGCTTTTAAGATGTACAATTTCACCAGTTTTGCTGTGAGTCTCAATGAGCTGGAAAAGGGCATGGAAGCAATTTTGGCTCCCACTGACTGTCGGCTACGTCCGGATATCAGAAATATGGAGAACGGGAACATGGGTATGTGTTTGGTGCAGGAAATATTTCCACATTAATAAGTTTTGAGAGGGATGACCAAAGGGAGGTTGATACAGGAAACACTGTCTTCAGTTTCTCATTCCCAGAGCAGCCTTAACTCTTTTTCATCCTGTGTAATGAACATGCGTTTGAACAATGTATAATGTGTGTTCTCTCCCAGAAAAATCTGGGAGAGCAGATGCATCCCAGGTGGATCTCAGGGCTGCTATCGTGTGTTATGGGGTGTTTGCATGTTTGTTAGCTTGCGGGGGGGGAGCTGGCAGACGTGCTCAACATGCTCACTTGCTCTGGAGTTTGTCTGGAAAGACATGTGGTGAGCAGACGTGCTCTGTTGCTCTGGTGTTTGTCAGAGAAAACACATGGACAAATAGTGAAAAAAAATCACTCTCTCTGTTATTCCTAATCAGAACTGTTTCCTGCTGTCTCAGTGCAGTGTGTCTGATAGATAAAACACTAAAATTTCAGTTTCAACTCTGTGTTTGTAGCAGCAGCTTTTCTGAAATGGCTGTTCTAGGCTTTCGTTACCTGAGTACAGCAAATGCTCTATCTTGCTTAAATGAACTCTACTTCATTTCTCTGCAGTCTTTTCTGTGTTTTCTTAATTTTTATTCCTATTTTGCCAAGTAACCAATTTCTCTTGGAATGTTGGCTAGATGTGGCAAGCAAAGAGAAGGAGAGACTAGAGGAGAAACAAAGAGCTGCTCGCAAGGAGCGTGCGAAGGACGAGGTGGAGTGGCACACACGGTAAGGGGGCAGGAGGGTGGGCAGTTGTTGAAGATTGGAATAGTTGGGTATAATATCCTGCTTGAATGGTTTTTCTTCAGGAGAGCATGTGTTTGATTTCCTCTGTGACAGCACAGTTTGTAGTGTCACTTAAAGCATTGCTGGGTCAACAATTAAATATGTAGCTGGAAGCCAAAATTGCTGATAACTCTGTTCTGGACAAATTATCTAATGATAAATGCTGAAACCTGTCATAATTAACTAGTATGGTAATGCTGGGGGTTTTTGGTAGGTTTTTGTATTTGTTTGGTTTTTTTTTTAACCTACAGAGGTCAAATTTTTGTTAGAATTAATAAGATGTTAAGTCTCATCTCTCCTTTAACCAATTCCTGTCCAGCTTTTGGCAGTCGAGTGAGACGTTGTGGCCCTCTTAAGTCCTTTTATTTTTACACTTCTTGGATTTCTTGGCTTGGATACTTGAAAAAGTGCTTTTTGAATTGCATATTCAAGTGACTTCTCAGTCACAGAGTGCATCAGGGAGCGATGTGTGATTTGGCTGCTGCTCCCACAAGTTGCTTTTCACAGCTGCCAGTGCTGTGCAGTCAAGTGTGTACTCACAGCCAGTCCCTGCAGGTGCTTCCTTCAAAGGCAAGAACTTTGGGATGCTCCCGTGCTTCCATGAAATTCAGAAGAGAAAACATTTTCTTCCTGAAGCCTGGAGGAGCAGCTACGGGCCAATTCCAGTTAATGCCTTTGAAAATCTCTTCCAGAGAGCATAAAATTGTTTTCAGTCAGCGTGGCTAAAAAGTGAGCAGCTGCTGATGTTCTGTGCAGAGCACAGCTCTGGAGAACAAAACTGTTTCCTCTTTGGATGAATTTAGAAAAACGATTGTGTAACTGTTTTGGCATTATTTTAAAGTAAATTTATATATGTTATATAATCTAGAGTATCATTGTTAGTTTTATTAAAAATAGGACAGCAATTTTAAAACTAATTTCATTCTCTTTCTTGATTTTATGCAAAAAAAAAAAAGATGTTTTACAAGGTGGTGATAATTGTGTAGAAAGTTTAATGCCTTGTTTTCCATGTTCAGAGTATTTCCTGAATAATTTCCTGAGATTTTTTTTTCTAATAAGAAATACCACTGTGTTTTTATAATGTTTTGTGAAAGAGGTAAAGTTTTTTCCCCTGTTAATAACTGTTCACTCTGTTTGCTTTTTTTGTTTTCTTGTTTCTCTCCTTTTTCTTTTACAGATGGTTTCATCAAGGCACTAACCCATACACTGGGACTTCAGATTGGCTGTACTCAGGTGGCTATTTTGATAGAAATTTCTCAGACTGTCCAGACATATACTGAAATTACAGAACCAATTGCTCATCTCATCCGGACATTTAGTTACTAGATTTCATTCCAAGCCCAGTTCCTGTGGTTTTGTTGACAGCAAAAACCAGCTTTTCTAAGTAAATTTTAACAAAAATTCTATCAGTCAACAATCAATGATTTAATTATCACTAATGTTGGATTGCCAAATATTTAAATACCGTTGTGCTCATTCCGTAGAGCTGCACCTGAAATCACCATGTTTTCACTAATTTTCAAAGGGACCTTTGGTTCTCCATCTTCTCCCCTAGTTTCTCTGTCAGGAGGATGCACTGTATCCGGTAGAGCACATAACATCCTCGAATACTACATAACTTAAATAAAATAGAGATAATAGCCTTGTTACTTAGTACAATAGCGAAGAATCTGAAGTTTTTGGAACTCGGAGCAGGGATGAAAAGCCAATATGGTACCAACAGGATCAAACCCAGTCCTGTCATACTCCCCGTACGTATGTAGCACTCCCTGGGGACGGGAGCTCCCGGCCCCCCCTCTCAAACAATTCCATAACTGAGAGACTCATGGAAACAAAACCCAACCTGAGCTTCTCACACTGTAGTTGTCTGTTACAGTCTTCATAACTTTGGGACACTGTGAGCATTAAACTGTGTACCTGTGATGAATCCCATAAAGCATACGTTAGGAGAAGGGAAGGGCGCAGTCCAAACGTGCTTTTTCTGAAGTCAAATGCTGTTCTTAAAAATAGGAGAAGCTTCGGAAGCAATAGCAGGAATGTCGAGGTGGTTACAATGTACAATATATTGCTTGCTACCACTTGGAGGCTTAACTTCTGCACTACCTTTGGCAGCTTTGGCACTGTGTATGCTCCTAGGCTAAACTTTCCTTTGGAAGCACTTCCGTATGTATATCCACACAGGTTCATATTTTTGGGGAAGTTTTGGTTTGCATGTTTTTCATTAATAGGTCATGTCTGTTTTGTATGTTGTGAAAAAGCAGAATCAATTTAAAGCTTTGGCAGAGTTTATACCTATTACAAGTTTCCTGTGAGCACGTGATGTCAAAAAGTGGGATTGTTTTGGTTCCATATCAAACCATCGAAGCCATAAAATACTGGAAAATAATCAATTACTGAACTGATGCATTCATTTTCTTTCAAGTGGTACACTTCAGGGGGTAAGGCAGGGAGAGAGGCTTGAAAAATTAGGTCCAGTAATTAAAACTAGTCCTAATGTTGCTGCTTCTTTTATGAAAGTTTTTAATTGAGTAACCAGGTGAACATGGAGAGCGGCTGCACTGCTGTGAAGTTTACAGTAATTTAGAAATTGCTGGTGTTAAGTGCCAGCAACATGAGGAGTTCAAGAAAGAACTGGTCTCATTTATGTCCAGAACATCTGTGGTTTCATCCAGAGGATAGATTTTTGAAGTGCGTCTCTCCCAGCCACAGGATTAAAAGGCAAAAGAAAATTAACATATTCATAGAGAAACACCTTCCTATCAAATCGTGCATCTAATGATTAGATTAAATTTGGGGGAAATTTAGTTGTTGTCTTCATTGGAAAAATAAGAGAAGCTGTAAAACTTCAAGGCAGTAAGGAAGGGCCTGATCTGAAACATACCTGTGGGGACATGATTCTGTTGCCAAAGTTTGTGTTGATGCAGGTCCTCAGGACTTAGGAGCTGAGTTGGTGACACAGTGCAGGCAACAGGGTCATGTTTGTTTCTAGTAAGTGCATAGACACTTCTAAAAAGACATTGCTGAGCCACATGGAACAGCATAAAAATAGTTTTGATAAAAAACTGAACTTCAGTGACCGTGCCAGGCACTCTAATCCTTTTCCAAACTTGCTGCAAGCGGGTTAGGAAACCCTTTGTTAGGTGAGGATTGAAAGGATTCATGTATTAGACCAGTTTAACATCTCATGGGAGTTTAAAACTTGCTTAAACTGCATGGTATGTTTAATGCTGGATTAGTGTTTTTAAAACAATGCATATAAATAGAAATTGCCTGAATGGAAAAAACTGTACAGTAGTTGCTAACGAGATGTTCTGTTTCTAAGAGGAGGTGTACAGGTTAGCATCCCTCTCGTCTAAGCCATGATTTAAATTCAAAGACCTAAAGCCTTGTCATTATGTGGAAGCATGAAACAATTGTACCAACGTGTTTAATCCAAACTTCAGTAGAGAATCTTCATGGAATATAAAAAGAAACTGGGAACATTTCCAAAGTAAGAAACACTTCATTAGTTACATCTTCACCCCCTTCTCCCCTTCCTTTAGTGTAAAGCTTTTAGTAAAATTTCAGATTAGTTCCAAAGCCACTCTTCTAATTTATTGTTCTTCATTGACAACACTTACAGAACCCTTTCCCTGTGCTGCTGACACGGCTGTGCTTGGCCAGCCTTGGCATTCCTGATGCTCTCAAAGTCCAAAAGTTTTATTTTCGATGCAGATCTCGCCTCAGTAGTTTACCTGTTGAAACATTAATAACTTTGCACCTTTTGAAAGAATGTCACTTTTATAACTTGATGAAACACTGTATATAAGATAACTGTGTTAGTATATGTTAATACAGCTACGTAGAGAAACCAGCTAGAAAGAAATTATAATAAATACTTAATAAATACCCTTTGGGCCTCTGGATGGTGACAGAGATTTGTGTGAGACGCGTACAGGTGGGGCAGGAGGACTCTGGCTTTGCTAAGCCAGCACTGGGGCTGTACTTAGATTTCACCATGATGTTTATTGGATGAAGATGATTTAAATGGGAGCTTGGGACGCCTCCAGTCTTGGGTGGAGGTGTCTGACCATGGTGGGCTCTGTTCCTTAGCACCCTGTGGTGTGTGGGGTGATGGGGTTGTAGAGGACAGGGTTGAAAACCTGTGTGGGGACAGGGAAGGGGCAGCGGGAGGAGCCGTGGGAATGCTCCCAGCACTGGGACCTCACACTGGTGTGACAGCAGAGTGGCCATGGCCGAGCTGGAGGTGGGGAGTGAGGGGACTTCTATTAAAAATGTAATAGAAGTGAAAATTAACTTCGTAGTTATGTGTTTGTGTCTTCGAGGCAACGTCCTGTTGTAAATTGGGAGCAGCTTTTCAGACATCTGGCATTTATGTAGTTATTGTTACCTGGACTAACAAGGACAGGAACCATCCACCCTAAATCACCCAGAGAGAACAGAACTGATTAGAAGTATTTATTCTTGTTTATTGATTAAAAACAATTTCCCAGGAAATTTTTTGCTGAAAGCTGCTTTTAAAAAACAAACCCCAAGACTCTTCGCCCAGCGACGCTGCTCCTGTTGGGAGCACACCAGTGTTGGCCGAGCCCCACATGGAACACCACTGGCTCCTTGGAAAACACCTGGGATTTGGGTCAGTGATGCAACACTGAAATGCTATGAGGCAACCCAGAGTTTGGGCATGTGCAGGAGAGCTCCTCCACGGAAAGATTTATTTTTGTAATACTTGACGGGTGTGACGGGAATAAAGGTGGTTTTGGAGACGCGGCGGCCCCGGGCTGTGCTTGGTTGAGGGGATGAGAGGGATTGGGGGGGGGGGGGGGGGGGGGCGCCGCCATGTTCCGTGACACAGCAGGGGCGCTCGGCCCCGCCCCCCACGTGATTGACAGCGGCGCGGGCCAATCGCGCGGGGCCGCGGCGGCGCGCGCCCCGCGGTGGGCGGGGTTCCGGCGCGCGGGGCAGGAAGAGCTGAGGCGGCGGAGGAGGAGGAGGGAACGGGGAGCAGGGAGCAGGGAACAGGTACCGCCGGGACCCCCTCCGACCGCCCGCGCCCCGCGCTCGGTGGGGCCGCGCCGGGGGGCTCCTGCCTGCGGCGCCGGGGGGGAGGCGGCGTGGCGGCCTCGAGACGGTCCGGCAGGAGATCGCGGCCTCCGGCCGGGCGGGGGGCGCCGGGGCCAGGCCGGGCTGAGCCCCCACCCCGGGCCCGGCTCCTTTCCGGCTGCGGCGGGGCCGGGCCGGGCTGGGAACGCAGGGCCAGCCGGGAACAGCCGCACAGTCACGCAGGGCCGCCTGGGCCCGGCATCGCCGCCCGGTCGGTCGGTGGGGACGTGGGGCGGGGGAGCGGGGGCAGAGCCAGGGGGGCACCGTGAGGATCAGTCGGGCGCGGGGCGACCTGTGGGGCTCTGCTGGGATGCTGGAGCCACAGTCTGAACATACAGCAGGGCTTCCTGCGCGTCCCTGAGCTTTGAACTGTAATTCGAACCGAAGAAGGAAGCGTCAGGGGACGGCGGTTTCATTTTCTAGTACCTCAGCACGTAGGCTCACCTTTATTAGTAGAGGTCTGTGGAGCCGCCTGGCTTCATCCAGAGTTCTGCTTTAGCTCAGCTGGATCACCCTGGAATTCTGCAGGCAGCAGGACAGATTGCTTTTGTGGAGTCCACCTTATAAAGGTTGAAATTTGATACTAGGAAGAGTGAATGGGGGAAGGTTTCTCATGGCACTTGCTGCTCTCTCTCTTTCCAGGATGTCTTCAGGTGCATTATTTCCAAGCCTGGTGCCAGGCTCCCGTGGCTCCTCGAGCAAATACCTGGTGGAATTTCGAGCAGGGAAGATGTCCCTGAAAGGCAGCACTGTAACCCCAGACAAGAGAAAAGGCCTTGTTTACATCCAGCAAACCGATGATTCCCTCATTCACTTCTGCTGGAAGGACAGGACTTCAGGCAACGTGGAGGATGTGAGTATGAGCTTGAGGTGTTTGTTAAGTCATGGCCTGTCTTGTTCTGTTCTGCTGGTATTGCTGAAAGAGCTCCTCCAGGACAAATTAGGGTGAGAATGTCACTGACAGACCTGTCACGGCCGCTCTGCTTCGAGGAGCAGATGGAAGAAGGTTTGGGAAGGGGGGCAGAGGCCTTTGGGAGGTAAAAAGGAATGTTGGTGTATTTCCTCAAACATTTGTTCCTCCTGCCACATTTTCCAGGATCTGATTATTTTTCCTGACGACTGTGAGTTCAAGAGGGTCCCGCAGTGCACCACGGGCCGTGTGTATGTATTGAAGTTCAAGGCGGGATCAAAACGACTCTTCTTCTGGATGCAGGTTTGTGGGGAGTCAGTGGCAAAGATCTGGGACCAAAATACTCCCAGTTTGACTGGTACCAAGAGCAACTCTCTTGCAGGAGCCGAAG